GGTGTATGAGTTGTGGAGACGTGAAGGCTGCTGTTTGTAGTCGACTTTGATTTATTTGCATCTTCTGAAACTGATCTGTATTGCTCTTTGGAAATGTTCACGGCGCTGAGCGACGTGGCCTGCAAACGGTGAACGTGTCTAAAACCAAAAGCTTGGTGTGTTCTCGTTGTCCTGTCCATTGCTGTCTTGAGATTAAAGGAGAGACAGTGGAGCAGGTAGAGAAGTTCAAGTACCTCAGAGTCGTATTTACTGGTGCTGGAAAATTTAAGGGTGATATCGATCGGTGTATTGGAATATCCAGGGGCGTTCTGCAGGAAGTCGCCCTAACCATTTTGACTAATGCGATGTAACACGGTGAATCAGAATTTATTGTATTTGTGTCTGAGAAGCATTCGTAACTTCTAGTATTCCGCCAGTTGAATCGTTCAAAGCCACTAATACCTCGGTTTGATCAGAAGCATACTAATGTGAAGAAACGTTATAACCTGAAAATATACCTGTTTCATTTTTTTAGTATCAAACGGTTCTTGGTAGACCGACGAAAACGATGGAAATGGGATCGACCGAAATTCCTCAAGATTTGTTTGAAGAATATTTGATAACTGTCAGCGAAGAGGAGTTTAAGTGGGTTAAATGCCTGTTAAATAGTTGATTTGAATAATGTGTTTAGTGATGTGTTTTTAATGCTGGAAAAAAGATTAGCTCTGAATTCTGTTTAAGCAATGAGTTGGTTGTTAATCACGGGTGTAAATGATTCGACACTAGAAATTCTACTTTGTCTCAACTGTGCTTGCGGTTATTTGAAACTGCATGTTTTAATTATCATACGGAGTAACTTTTAAAATGCATTTATTTTTTGCTTCGCATACAAGTGCGTATCGTATTTATTATGTTTAGAGGCTGCAAATACCACTTGTTGAAACATAACTGCAACACATTCAGTAATGCGGTGGTACAATTTCTTACCGGTAAATCGATACCAACGGAAATACTTGAATTACCTGATCAAGTTCTCAGCACGTAAGTATTTTTTTTATCAAATCAAAAAAATTATGCTAATCTAAATTGTTACATTTTTAGTTCTGATCCGTTTAGTGGTTTTTTTAAGCGACAAAGATCGAAGCGGAGCTGAAATAACTGTTACTGAACAGCCTTTCCCGCAGATAAATTTGATAGTAGCCCTCTATTGGTGGTTTCTTACCAAAGGAGTCTGGGTAAAAGCATACAACGGTTCAAGAACAAATAAGACGTTACGGGGAATGTGTTGTTCACCGCATAAGCTACGGTATCTTCCGTATAGGAATTGATTCCTACTGTAACAGGATACTTCGGGGGGTAGTGTATCTCCTCGATTGCACTTGCGGCAACCTCTACGTCAGCGGAACTCAAGGAATACTTCAAATAGGAACATACGCCCTGCATGGCAGAGCTGACAATATAGACTCAGTGATGGCAGAACACATGATCGTAAAGAATCACGATCGCGTCACTTCACGTAAAGAGTCACACAAAGTGGGAAACTGGAAAAAATAAGATTATTGAAACCGTGATAACAAAATAGTGAATGTTCCAGAAGAGACATAGGCAGTTACTCACTCTGGTTTCTGTTGCTGCACTACTAGCTTTCCAGTACTTACCCCTGTTTTAGTTATTACCTATGTGATTATAACTGAATCAATAAGTTGAGACCAGGCCGTTACTGAGACCCTCTGGGATCTTTGGAGCATATCATGACTGTTTCCGTTTTAGTGAATTACTTATTTAAAATTAATTTGTCATTATTGTTAATAGGTTGTTTTGTGTTGAGTTGCAACGAGTTCAGAATATTATTTGTCCAACTCGTTATGTAACTCATTTTTGTTTTAAACAGGCCTATTGGCAGGATGATTTCGCCGTTCATCGACCACGTCATGGCTACCGCCAATGGTGAACGCCATATAGGAGCTCCTAGTTCTGATCACCAAGATTTCTCTCAAAATTCGCAGGCTAACTCGAACTCGACACCATCTTCTGCCGCAGGGAAACAGGTTGGTGATACGTTTCTATTCCTGAGTGAATTTTGAATTATTTTACACGGAAGAATGAGAATTATTTAATTTTTTATTCGTGATAACGAGAAATAAAATTCTGCACATTTTTATAGGTACTCCAGTACCGTGAAAACTTTGTTCGCATGTCTATGTGCGTTTCTACAGAAAAATGAGTAATGCGGTAATATTGAAATTGTTTAGGTGAAATTATTTTGCTTATTTATGCTAAAATTTTATCTTTACATTACATCGTTCCTCCTTGTGCTGAAGAGGGCACAGATTGAAATACAGAATCGCTTGGCAAAGTCAGTTAATATGCAATATGGACGCCTATGCTACTGTAGAAGCCACTTTGCCATTCAAGAAGCAAAAACTGTCAGCTTTGACAGAGCTTCTTATTTCTCTATATCAGATTTCCCTGAGAGACAGATATTATGACATATCTCTGACGGAATTACTGATGATATTTCCTATGCCGTGTATCCAGTGCATAGAAAATCGCGGGTAAATGGGCAACATATATCGAAGATTTAGTAATTCGACGCCGGGCACCTTTTCACGAAGGACTAGGATATACGTCAGCCATTGCGAGAGTATTTCGAGGAACTCCTTAACCGTGAGCAATCGCAGAAAGATTCTCCTGAAGAGCATCAAGCAGCCGCTATTCATTTTTCAGTAGACGAACTCAGAAGCTGTAAAAGGCTTCCGGAATCGATGAAATTCTCCCTGAAATATGTGATCAGTGCTTTAGGCGAGCCAATCATGTGGAGGATAATGTGTCTGTTAAACTGCAGTAACTACGGAGAAGACACCGGTAATTGGAGAACTGCAGTAGTTGTACCCCTGTTCAAAATGGAAAATTATAGGGACTGCTCCTAGTGTCGGAGCATTACCTTATTGAACCTCCCGGGTAAAATCTGTGCCAGTGCGTTGGATGGGAGGTACTTCTGAATAGCTGACTTTAAATTCAAGAAAAGATTTAGATTCAAGAAAAGCAATGTGGTTTCAGTTCAGGCCAGAGACCTCTGACCAGATTTTCATCCTACGTACCAGATTGTTCAGAAATCATGAGAGTTGCTCATCATGTTTACATGTGCGCTGTTGACCTGGAGAAGGCTTATAACAGGATCGTGCTCAACAAGCTGTGGGCATGTTTGTAAACGCTGGATCGCTGACCAGTCGCCGGTCGCTACTGGCTATCCAGACAATATATGCTAGTAAAAGGTGCTGCGTCAGAGTTAAAGCGTCGAAAACTTTCAACATTGGCACTGGTCTGTTATACATTGAATGGATAATCAGGCGGAGTCAAGGTGTCCCGCTCTGTGAAAAGTTTCACAGCCTGTTGCGACGTCGCGGACGTAATTGCGAACGTGTCTAAAATTAAACACCTAGTAGTGGAAGTAGTGGAGAACATAGGGGCAAGTAGAGAAATTCACGTACCTCTGCGTCGTGTTCACCGCTGATGGGAATGGAGTAAGAGGTGATCGACCGGCAGATTTCGGTAGTCAGCAACGTTCTGCGTGAATTAATCCGAATCGTGTGACCAAAGCAGAGCTGAATCTGAAGACCAAGGTGTCTGCGTTTTAATCGATCTTCATCCCCGTGCCCATTTTTGGTCATGAAGTGTGGGTCGTGAACAAAAGTATTCTGATACGGAGAACAAGTGGCTGAAAAAGGTTTTGTGAGTCGAATCATTACGCGTCTCGACATGGTGCGGAGATCAGATATGCGAAAGAACGTTGTTGTAAAGCAGATGCTTCTGCAGATTGAAAAGTCACTGCCGCGATGGTTTGCGCTCGCCATTCAAACTCTTCAGAAAGACAAAACTAGCACTACATGCCCAAGTGCGGGCAAAGATCCCAGGAATGGCTAAAAAATGGCCTTGGGGATATGTAAAGAAGGACTCTGTTCCATATTAAGATAATCTTCTGTCGAACCTCAAACGCTGGTACCGCCTTCGCGACCTGAAAAAAAACGCGGTCATTGAATCTGACTGACTGAGGTACATGTCTAATAGACAGTGTTCAGAAATGGAGAGCAAGTATCCCGTTTGGTGATTTAAATGAACAGATTTTCGATAATCCGGATAATAACTTTGTCCACAGGATAACATCATGTCCCAGTGATCATAAGGCTGTTTTTAAGCTGTGATAAACTCAGACGTCGATGAGCAACACCAACAGTGCCCCATTCATCTGAAAGAAAGGTGGCATTTGTCGCTGTATATTGCAACATTTTCTTTTATACAGAAAATTGGTATGTTTGAAATGTGGACCACTGTTGTGCACAAGCCGTGTTTCAGCCTCAACGGTTTAAACAGTAAATACAAGCATAAATCATCTTCATTTCAACCATCATTTTTTCTAAAATATTTAGGCATGACTTACATTTGTTTTGCTTAGGAGCATGACACTGGTGACTTGGATTAGCGACCATGGGACAGCTGATGCAATGACTTTCACTATTGCCTGCGACGGGAACAGGAAGACAGCACGATGAAGCAATGCAGCATAGGTCCCTAGCTACCATTGTGTAAATTGTTGTTATGCCTATGTATTTGGCAAATCATTGTTTATGCCACGTCATTCATAGCTGCGTCGAAACATACGATGAAAGGATTTGTTGATTTTGTCCCTGTTGATTCAGTTTATTTATCGGATTATGTGCTTGTGATATGCTGTTGTGCTGTATATCAAGGAAAGTTTGTAAAAGTTCGAATATTGGCATTCTTACACTCTTATGATGGAGCCAATAATAGCATAGTAAATGTTTGTGGTTCTGATCTTCAATTCCTTGTCATCAGCCCGGAGTGATAGTAGCTCTGTGACAGCTATGGTCTGTATTATCTTGTATCCTTTCCACGCATTTATAAGAGTAGTACTCATCAACCAGGACCTGTTGGTTGTGAGTGTGACACTGGACCTCCGTCGGGTAATTCCGACCTGAAGCAACGTATGGTAAATTCCAAACTGGAGGAGATTCGTTGTAAAGACAGAGTTTTCGCTGCATAAATTCGAAGCCGACTTCTTACGCAATGCTGCATACAAAAGATGATGCTTGAAGATTGCACGTTATCTTTCTTGTACATCTAGTTAATTCAGAGATCATTGTGAATATGCGCAACCTCAATGATAGAGAGCGCGATATTGCTTTAGTGAACACAACGATCCGAGAGGCATTGCAAATGCTGAAATTCCATGGAACTGTTGACATCTC